CCGACGTAGATTGGACTTTTTACGTCGGACCCTACCAGGTCCGACGTAAAAAAGGACGCAAATTTGAATAAGAGAGCGCGAGGCACACCGCGCGCATTCACTCTTCATCACTTTTCATTTTTTTTCTCTCTAAACCCTCTCCCTCTCCTTTGTTATTGAATCGTTTTTTGTCTTTTGCAGAGGGATGAACTCTTTGTTACTCATTTGCACATTTTTGCTGCTCCTCAGGTATGAATCAAGGTTTCGTTAGCACTTTTCTACTTCGCATTGCTACTCTGGCTATCTGTTTTATTTGATTTTTTGGTTGTTCTATTTGTATAAGTAGTGGGCATTTTCTTTTTGGTTGTTATACGAAGCAGAACGAGCTGTTCTGCTGGCATTTTTATATTTTTTTTAATTTTTTTTGCTACTTTTTTACGTCGATGTCATAATGTCCGACGTAAATTTACGTCAGTTTTGCAGTGGTTGGGAGTCGTATCCTATCATGTTGCGTCGGTGCCGAGCCGAAGGCCCCGGGGGGCTAGACCTGGTTTTTCTTGCAAAGCAGGAGGGTCAGGGGGATTTCTTCTACATGTACGAGTGTTTCTTTTGTGAACTCGGCATGTTGCTCCCGTTTGACGATTTTCAGATGGGGGTTCTGCGTGTGTTGAACGTGGCACCGACGCAGTTGCACCCAAACGCGTGGGCTTATATGCAAGCATTCAGGGTACTTTGTAAATACCATTATATAGAGCCGACCGTAGGATTATTTTTACATTTTTTCTGTACTCGTCCGTCTAATAAGACCGTGAAGTGGCTCTCGTTGATTCGGAACGTCGACCGACCGCTATTAACGCCCTTAACGTCGTCCTTCAAGGGTTTTAAATCGGGGTTTGTGAAAGTAATCATAGACCCTGTTGCCGGTCGGAATTATTTTTATGATGCCGAGCAGAAACCCCTTTTTCCTTTTTATTGTACTCGTCAGCCTCAGAAATATGATGATTTTCCGGAGGACATGATGATCGAGGCCGAGTTATCGGACCTGAACATCCTGAAAGGATTGCCGAAGTGCATCCCCTCTCGGTTTCTAGTGTTGCTGCCCAAATCGGCTCGGCCGCGTTTTGATTTAGAGGGTATGTTTTGATATTTCCGATTGATTGTTCTTGTTAAGTTGATGTGTGACTTTTTGCTTCTTGCAGGATTGATGGCGCAACATGGTTTGGGGTTATCGTATCGGCAATTGATGAGGAATCGAGCCCCGGCGGATACTTCTGCCGAAGATCATCGTAGCATTGTCGTTGATACTCAACCACAAGACACGGATACTCCTCAGCCGACACCCGCGGTTATTGCCCTTCCGGATCCTAAGGGGAAGAAAAAGAGAGATAGAGGGAAAAGGAAAACTGATGTTCCTGGCCTGGAAGTCCCTCAGCCCAAGCAACGCCGGATTGAAGGGTCGTCGTCAGATTTGGCAATCCCCTCGGCTATTGTAGCGAAGGATTTCCTATCGGAAGAAGTCAGGCCGACCTGGATGATGTCGTCGGACCTGCTGTCTGCCCAAGGGCACCTAATGCTCAATTCGGCCACTCCATCGGCCCAATGGGCTATGGCTTGTGAGTTACATGTTAGGGCCACGGCTATATTTAGGAAGATGGCTTTGGAGCCGATGGGCGATCTGCACAATCTTCAGAAGGGTCTGGATGATGCGAAGTTTGCTCTTCAACAATCCCTTTTGGCGCAAGAGGCTATTACTGGTGAAAAAGTTGAGGCCGAGGCCGAGGTGGCTCGGTTGAAAGAGGCTCTAGCCGACATGGAGGGTCGTGCCCTAGCGGCAGAGGAGGCGGAAAAGATGAGAGTCCGAGAGGTAAAGGAGCTGACCGCTCGGGAGCAACAAACGAAGGCCGAAGCCGACGCTGCTATGGCGGGCATATAATTTTAATATATTATATATAGTCATTAAATTTAATATAATAATAATAATAACTAATATTATTATTCATTTTTATTCAGGTAGATCAATCTTTTAAGTGTAATATAAGTTTTTTTTAAATAACTTGTAGCCTATGCTTTTAAACTAAATACATATTATAGTAAAAACTTTAGTTTGACCTATTTAATTTTAAATATATTTGATTACTTTGTACGTTTATTAATTTTTGTATGTGAGCAGAGTAAATTACATTATTTTTAAAAAATATTGTGTTTTTTGTTATATATTTATGTTAAGATAATTCTATAAGATATAGTCTAGATATACTAGTTTATCCTCTCCTAATTTCTAGTTTAGTTTCCTTAGTACTTGAATCTGAATGATTTTCATGTTATTGAATTGATGGATACAATAAAATAAATAGGCATAAAACATAATCAATCCCTAAAGTTTAGGAATTTAGATAAAACTGATTAAGGAAACTAAACAATAAATTAAGAGAGTATAAAGTAGTATATCTAAACTATATCTTATAGAATTAATTATCAAAATAAAATCTAATATCTGTATGAATTTCTTTGATAAAAATATTTAATTAATTTTAATATATAATAAATTTATTATCAAAATATTAATTATAATTTGAGTTATAATTTTTATAATATTTTGATTTAATATTAATTATAAGTTGACATGGATTGAGCTTATGAGTTTTTTTCACTTTCGAACTCATAAACCCAATATCAGAGACCAAGCGCAACCAGCTAGCTAGCTCAACAGTGGGCTAAGTTAAAACAACACAGCCACTTCCGAAATTTAACAACACAGCGCCACTCACTCCGCCGGTTCTTGCCGTAGCAGACATTCGGGAAATCTGCTCCCTCGCCGGCCACGACACCTCCTTCTCTATTAGGTATTTCATCGCTTCTCTGCTCTGTTTCTCGCTTTCATTCTCCCTCACTTTTTATACTTTTATTTATTTAAACTCATTCTTCTCAAGATCCTTTTCTAATGATTGATTTACGAACATACTTAGTTATGCGTTTCGCTTATGAGATGGAAACTTCGTTATGAAATAAGGAAATATGGGACTAGAAACATCAGGGATACAGGCAAAAAGTGTTAGGTTATGTGGTGAATCAATGAAGTAAAATATTACTGCTATGATTCCTTTGCTTGTCAATTAATTTGTTCCAAGAGGCTATTTGGAAATTCTATGTCTTTAGCTTTTCTGTGTCCTCTTATTTTGTTTAAGCTGCATACTTGTTTGCCTAAATTGTAAAAATAAGCTTCGTTCAGCATTTGTAAAAATAAGCTGCATACTTGTTTGCCTCCCGTTGTATTTTTTTTTTTAAACTTTTTTCTGACATTAATGGCAGGAAGTAGTTGAGAAAATTACACAACCAATTCTGGATGCCCTTGGTGAAAACTGTTCTATTTATTGTGAAGGTACTGATTTTATTATAATACTTGCAATTTTCTAATGAATAATATAGTACAATTTCATTTATGTTCTATCATTTTCTTCTATCTCTGGTCCAGTATCGTTGTACTCACTGCAGTTTGTATGGTGACCTAGTGCTTATGGATCAGAGTTAATGCAAACACCGGATTCAGATGCTTATGACTTGACTGATTATGCTAAAACAGATGTAAGCTTTAAGTTTTTGTTACAAATGCTTTCATATAGTCTCTCTTGATTAATCGCATGCCATTTCCTTTCGATGCAAAGTGTTAATTTTAATTACTTTTTTTGGAAAAGGAATATGTGAGGGAGAATAACTGTAAATCTGCAACAAAAATATATTGCTGAGAAGATTTCCGATTTACTCAAGATATTTATAACCTTTTTATCATTGAGTTTTTATCAGCTTAGTGTGTTTATCTCATTTTTTGTTAACAAAGCTTAAAATAAAAAAAAAAAATGCTCAAAAAATATATAAGTGAAATAAGAAGAAAAAAATATTAAGAATTTCAAATTCTTACTTTTTTGAGAGAATTTGAAATTTTACTATTCTAAGGAATTTCACAAATGCTTGAATTTCAAATTCTTTATAAATTCTCCATCTAAACAAAGCATTTCATCTCAAGGAATTTGAAAATTTTCAAATAAATGAATTATCCTATATAAATTCCCCGTCTAAACACACCATAAAGGTTTAAGATTTTACCTTTAAAGCATCCTTTAAGATTTCCATTGAATAATCTTTTGTAACATGACAATCTATCTTTGATCACCAAGCACCAAAAGTACAATATTTCTACTGAATCCACATAAGTAACACTAGAATTGTAAGGAACAACTGATTGAAGAATAAGTATCATGAGACGATCAGAAAACCATGTGACCTTTTTTGTCTCAAGGTTTCTAGAAGCATATAGAGAGGTGGATCTGTGGAAAATATTCCAGAAGTGGGGAAAAGTTAGAGAAGTATTCCTCGCGAAGAAAAGAAACAAATGGGGTCAGGTGTTTGGATTTGTAAGGTTTGCGGATGTGCAAGACGTTAAGGGCTTAGAATATCAGCTAGACAAGATCTGCATTGGCAACACTAAGCTGAATGTCAACATCCCAAAGTACCCGAGAGGATCGTGGAGAAAAGAGGTGAAGCAAGGAACTCAAAGCGTGCCTACGCATGATGACGGACAACAACGGAAAGTGCAGGTTCACATACATAGTAAGAGAACTACGAAAACCTACGCAGAAGTGCTAAAACAACAAGGTGGAAACGCTGTCTGGAGAAAGAAAAATGGAATGAACCAGAATACCAGTCAAGAAAAATGGAACGGCATAAATATTCAAGTGAGGGAGGCTCATACAGAATGGTTAGAAAAAAGTTGGGTAGGAAGACTGATTGATCAATCTATGTTCGATAAGTTACAAGAGGCTTGGATACCATATGAATCGTAGGAAATTAAGGTAAGGTATATGGGGGATGACCTTGTGCTTATAACAGGTATGAATGAAGAAATGATAAAAAAGAAGACACAGGATGACGATAGCTTCTTATCCCTACTGCACCCAATCTAGAGGTGGAGTCCGAAGATTAATGCTGGTAATAGGCTGGTATGGGTGCGTTGTTATGGTGTTCCGATTCAAACCTGGGGTCATGAGGCGTTTTCCAAGGTTGTCAACATGTGTGGTACGCTAATAAAATTAGATGATGATATGACCACTCTCCAAAAGTTGGACTATGCACGCCTGCTTCTCCATACCTCTGACCCCCAAATAATCTACTTCAATAACCTGGTTAAAATCAATGGTTTATTACGATGGGTGAGAATCATAGAGGAGCAACCATTGAATAAACCTTCATGCAATTGTTGGAAGTGGAATGACTCAAACTGTAGTTCCTCGATGGAGAGTGTGTTCGGAAGGGAGGGAGATGTACATCCTCGGAAGATTCAGGGGAAATGTATAAGAATTTGGAAGAGGCATCAATCGAGGTTGTGCAACCGGCGATGGTGCAACGGGAGAATACGACGGACAATGGTTCGAAAAAGGACACATCAGATAACTCGGAAACACAACAGTCATTGACCAAATTTGAATTTGAACCCCCAAATGGGACAAATGAAAGCCAAAATTGGGACTGTAATGGAATGACAAACGATATTAGGGCTGAGCTAGGAACAACGATTATGGAAACAAATACAAATGTATGGGAGCTATGCCTAACACAGCAGGGTACGTAAATGTTGATACGTCCAATGCAACAAAGTCAATGGAAAGGGATTTGGAAGACCACGAACTAGCGGAAAATGATGCAATGAATATTGGGCTAATTGGTAGAAGGGCCCAAGTGAGCAAATAAGAGAGCAAATGGCATGTGGGCCTTAATCCTTTGTTGGCCCAAACACACAATGAAGTGACAAATGGCCTAGGAAATAATATATCTAGCCCCCAATCTGAACCAGATTTGGGCGTTAGGTTGTCTACAGCCCAATTGTGCACCAATCTCGGTGAGGAGGTGGTAGATGCAGGTGCAAAACATGAACAAGCTGATAATGGGAATCCCCATCCCCAAAAGTCAGATGCCAGCCCTAATATGACAAGACCAAAAAGCTTAGAGGTTCATTCTCAAGCCGGAGGGGCATCAATACAGCCAGCATCGAGTTGCGATCGAAGTGAAGGATTACAACTACAGGGAGATATTCAAGCAGCGAAAGGTGGGGATACAAAACTTGAGTCAAAAACCAATTTTGGTGCTAGGTTCGCGGCTACATCGAAGAGGAAACAAGTAAGAAAAAAGGTAGAGCCATTATTTCAATCTCTTAGCAACTCTCTATCTGATTCAAATATCTTTAATTGTAATCGCGTATTCTGGCTGAAAAAAGATGCGACAGAAGCGCATAAACTATGGAAATTAGGGAAAGCTCTTGGGGTCTCATATATGGGGGATGAATTACATATGACAGAGAGAATACAAAGGTTGGAGGAAAGAGATCAGGCAGACAAAATCAAACAAAAAGAGAGAAACAAGGAGGGGGCGTCAGAGTTACATAAATGATAATCTTATCTTACAATGTCAGAGGTTTGGGAGGGAAAACTAAGTGGAGGTTTGTTAGGAATTTGGTGAATAAAGAAAAGGTTCAATTTTTGTGCATACAAGAAACAAAGTTGCCAGAGAAAGGTCATAAGCTATGTCAGACTTTATGGGGGGATCAAAATGTGGAATCAGCAGCTTCACCAGCAATAAACTCATCTGGTGGGTTGTTGTGTCTATGGAGTAAAGAGTGGTTCCAGCTAATAAATGTGTTTTCTGGGTCTGGCTACTTAGGAGTCGAAGGTATATGGAAGCAGGGTGACCACCATGTGATAATAATCAATGTCTATGTTCCTTGTGATCAGGCACAAAAGGCAGTTGTTTGGAATGGTCTGAAATAAAAGAGGCAACAAAGTACTACGAAGAGTTGGTGCATTGTGGGGGATTTTAACAGTGTAAGACTCAGTCAGGAGAGACAAGGTATATCATCTGCAGAGTACGGGGTGTTTGACACACAGGAATTCAACGAATTTATCTGTGACATGGGCCTTGATGACATTCCTGTGGTAGGAAGGAAATTTACTTGGTATAGGCCTAATGGAACGACAAGAAGCAAGCTAGATCGGTTCCTGTTATCTGATGAATGGTTGACAATTTGGGCTGGAAGTATGCAGTACATACCACCAAGGAACATCTCAGTTCATTGTCCAATTCTGATGAAGAATACAAACTTAGATTGGGGCCCAAAACCTTTTAAATCCCTAGATTGCTGGTTTGAAGATAAGAACTTTCTAGATTTTATCAAGAAAACATGGAATGAGTTAAACGTTCACGGTACGAGGGCTTTTGTGGTGAAAGAAAAGTTGAAAGACTTAAAGGACAAGTTGAAGAGGTGGAATAAGGAGCACTTTGGAGACATACAAAAGCAGTTGTACCAGGTGGAAGGTCTTCTAAATGAGCTAGATAAAAAGCAGGACCTCAAAGATTTAGAAGATGAGGAGAGGAGAAACAAAAAAGAATTACAGGAGAGGTTTTGGGACCTAGCAAAATGAAATGAGTCGCTACTCAGACAAAAGTCTAGAATTAAGTGGTTAAAGGAGGGGATAGCAACACAAGATTCTTTCACTCTTCAATAAGTGGAAAAAGAGACAAAATAGTATTAAAGGATTCTCTATTGCAGACGAATGGATAGAAGAGCCAAAGCAAGTCAAAAAAGAGGTAGAAAAGTTCTTCAAGGAAAGGTTCTCCGAATCCCCGTGGGTGAGGCCAAAACTCGATGGGGTGGAGTTCAATCAAGTAACTGATGAGGGGAATGCAGCGCTATCATCAGAGTTTGGGGAACTAGAAATAAAAGAGGCAGTATGGGAGTGCAATGGATCTAAGAGCCTAGGTCTAGATGGTTTTAACTTTAGATTCATAAAGGAGTTTTGGGAAACAATGAAGTCAGATATTATCATATACTTAAATGAATTCCACAAGTATGGCAAGCTTCCGAGAGGGTTCAATCCATCATTTATTACTCTTGTCCCAAAAAATATTGACCCACAAGAGCTAAATGAGTTTAGACCTATATCTTTGATTGGGAGTATGTATAAAATTCTGGCAAAAGTCCTTGCAAGAAGATTAAAAAGAGTTCTCTCAAGAGTTGTGGATTAATCGCAGTCACCGTTTCTGACTAGCAGGAACTTATTGCATAGTGTAGTTGTGGCAAATGAAGTTATAGATGAGGCTCGAAGGAGAAAAAAAGCATGTTTAATTTTCAAGGCCGATTTTGAAAAGGCTTATGATTCGGTTAACTGGGACTTCCTAACCTACATGATGCAAAGGTTTGGTTTTTGTGATAAATGGGTGGGGTGGATTTATGAAGCACTTCGTACTAGTACTGTCTCAGTCTTGGTCAATGGCAGTCCTATAAGCGAGTTTGCACCACAGCGGGGCCTTAGACAATCCACTCGCCCCTTTTCTTTTCACAATAGTGGCAGAAGGCCTAACAGGTCTAATGCGAAACGCAATTCAAAAAGGAAAGTTTTCTGGGTATTTAGTGGGTGAGAACTTGATTCCAGTAAGTCTCCTCCAATATGCTGATGACACAATCTTCATGGGAGAACCCTTAGTGGAAAATGTGATATTAATAAAGTGTATGATGAGATGTTTTGAGTTAATCTCAGAGCTCAAGGTGAACTTCTATAAAAGCAGACTTGGAGCAGTAGGAGTGGACAGGCACACATTAGAGAGGTATGTTGATCTGCTGAACTGTAAACTTATGACCATTCAATTCACCTACCTTGGCCTGCCAATAGGGGCGACTGCAAGGAAAGCTTCCACTTGGCACCTGGTGTTAGTAAAATTAAGGAACAAACTTGCAACATGGAAGAACAAATCAATCTCTCTAGCTGGAAGAATTTCATTAATAAACTC